CATTTACAAATATTAAACTTCTCCCCAGGGCATAAGGATCATATTTAAACTGATGAAAAAAGACATCTAATTCCTTTACTCCTCATTTCTCGCCCTTACCGTCCAGCTTCTTCCAGTTCTTCACCTTCATCTGGCATTCCTCTTCAATAATATCATGAAACAATAAGTATAGAAGATCAGGCAACAGATGGAATCAATAGTTTTGAGCAGAGATGATTATATTATTATATTATATTATATTATATTATATTATATTATATTATATTACATTATGGGGATATTGAGAACTATAAAAGAGGGCTTTTGTCATTAGAGAGGTGGTAACAAGCAGAATCACTATGTTTGAAACTGCTGTGTGCCTGGGCATTTTGATAAGTCATTTATCTGAAGGTTATCTGAATTACCTTTTGAAGTCTTTCAAAAGATTCAGTTGCCACCTCATTAAACACATGGGGCAATTTGCTTATACTGTCAACATGTGATTTCTCTTTCATCAATCCAGGCACTACATGCCAGCCACTGTGCTAAGTACGAGGACTCAAAGCAAGCAGAAGCAACAGGGTCACCCTGAGGAATTCAGCAAGCAACCAAGACAGATGAGTAACCAATTTCAAGACAATCTGTTAAGGGTTCTAATGATAAGAGAGTGGCCTGGGAACTCAAAAATAGAAAGGATGATCTGCTGTTGCCAGGAAGATCCTTCCAGGGAGAGCAACCCATTTTATTCTCAAAAATTGAGCAAGCAGAAGAGGAAACAAATTCCAGATTCAAATGCAAAACACTAGACATACAGAAGACCCCAAAGTATCAGCTGAAATCCATCCTTTCGCAGATGCTTTCTCTAAATGATTTGTTCATATAAATGCTGTTTGGAGGAGTACTGACTCACACACTCCTATTACCATAATCCTTCATCATAATTGCAAACAGTCTCTAGATGACTCGTAATGTACTACATCAATGCAGTATGGTTATCTGTTAGGGAAGCTTTCTATCCATGAAGTTAAATGTGTCTCTTCACTTCATAACCAAACACAAATTGGAAATCAAAGCCACTTGTTTTATTGAAAGCCTTTGACTAGCCATAAAGATCATGGTAACTTATTTTCTAGAATATACATAAAGGTGGACTATAAAAATCCCTGCTGACGTTTTACCTTTTAAAAATTGGTATTAAATAATATTTATTTTTCAATATACTATAGAAAAATTCCTCATCCCCAGTCATGATAAGTTGTAATACATTCTGTCATTCTGTTTCAACATGAAAGTCATTGGTAAATATTTTCTACTGCTACCATAATCCTCAAGAGTTATTTAAAATCTAGACAAGACAAGATAATGAAACTCTAGGGGATTTCTGCCCCCAAAGCCTTACTTTCATCTTTCTGAGAATTACATGATATTGAGAGACAAGTTTTCAAATACATTTTCAAAGTATCATTTATAAGCCAGATATACACCCAGATATCTGATTATGTTGTAATTATGTGACTAAACCAGTGAAATTTTTAATCTGTGACTTTTAATCTAAACTACAAATATACATACATATATGTGTATATATTCATTGGCAGATATATCTTATACAATGACAAAAAGAAGAGTATTAGCACCTAGACTTCAAAAATATGCCATGAATCACAGTTATGATAGAGAAAAGTTTCCAAATGCCAAATCTTTCCCACATATAACATATACAAAATCTTATAATGAATAGAATTATAAAGAATTAAGACATAATAGAAATTTGCTTATATAATGGATAATAGTTTTGAAAGTGGAATACCCATATTGCTCCACTTATGATGAGGTTACATCAGGCACTGAAAATATTCTAAGCTGATCATAAGTTGAAAACATCGTAAGTGGAAAATGTACCAAGTACACTTAACCTAGGGAATATCCTAGCTTATAGAACATACAGTATGCTCAGAATATTGTAGAGGACCAATTGTTCATATATATATTCACCACTCACAGGGATCCTGCAGCAACAGGTGAGAGCTGTGGCTCCCTCCCACTATCCACAAGCACATGAGAATATAGTGTCACATATGCATGTCAAGCTTAAGAAAAGATAAAAATTCAAACTATAGTTTGTAATGAATGCTATCACTTTTGCATAATCACAAAGCAAAAAATCACATATGCAGCAATTGTAAGTCAGGGACCACAAGCATAGGGAATATATAGAGAAAAGATCTTCAGAATATGGGAATACAATAGTACACACCAATAGGTTGGGGAGTTAGGGAAGTTGTTAAGATTTGTTTCCTTAAGAAATAAATCTTAAGAAAAAAAATCCAAATCCAGGAGAAAAACTAGAGGAGAAACACCAGAAATTTCTAATATTTAAAGATTTATTCAGCTGTACATTAGTATTATTTTCTACACAAAATTCAATTAATGCAACAGATGCCTGTTACAACTTTTAACTTAAGTTAGGTACTTGTGAGAGCATAGAGTCTTTGTTAGTAAAGTCATCACCAATACTTTGTCTATTTTACACATTTGGAATTCCACATGTTGCCTTTCTCAAAGAAGGTCATCTGCACAAATATGTCCTGATATAGGAGTGATATGGTGGGTTTGGGAGTGTTTTAGATATATCGTTTTCATTGTTGAGACAAAATACCTCACAAAGTTGAAGGAAGAAGGATTTACTGTAGCTCACAGTTTGTAGAGGCCTCGCTTCATAGTTGGCTGGCTTCAAGGCAAGGTAGCATAGCAGATGGGGCCTCACAGAAGAGAAGCAGGACATGACAGGGAGAAGGCGGCAAGCAGTGACACAGCAGAAGCAAAAGTAGCAGCTGCCTTCTTTCTGTCCCTTTTATATTCCATCTGGGCTACCCATTATTTGGGCACTTCCACCCACACTCAGGCTGGGGTGCTCTTAATCCCAGAACACCATAATCTACCACCTTTGAAACCTCTCACCCTATGAGCACATGAAATTTTGAAGCAACATCTGGATACAAGCCATTCTGCCTCTAGCCCACCAAAGATTCATGCACATCTCTTTATCCAAAAGGCATTTAGTTCATCTCTAACAGTAGGCAAGTCCTAACTGTTTCATCATTGCTAAAAGTCCAAGTCCAAAGACTCCTCTAAGATTTAAGATAAACTTTTAGCTGTGAGCCTCTGTACAAATGAAAGGACCTCCAACATACAATGGCAAAAAAATAACCATTATCATTCTAAAAGGTATAAATGTGGGGGATATAAAGGAATGGGATCCAAGCAAGTCCACAATCTAGTTGGGCAAACATTCACTCACGGATTTCCAAGACCAGCATCTGAGGCAATCTGAGGCAAAATGTGAACTCCAAAGTGGGCGGTCTGCCACTACAGCACTACATGGGCTGGCTTTGCTCACTCCTTGCCACCTTCTTTGTTCCTGGCTTCTCCACTAGGGTTCCCACTGCACCTTAGCTTCACATTCACAGCTTTGTACACGGCCCTCCCAGGAGCACACTCCCTGGTCTGTCAGGCATTCTTATAAACTCTGGATGGAGGCCTTCCCGACCCCAGGAACTCTTGCATTCTACATACACTTAAACCAGAACCATATGGATGACACCAAGGTCTGCCACTAGCTGGAGCAGTGAAGCTTCCTTCTTTCTTGACTGAAGGAGTCGGTTGCTTGAATCACTGAGCACAGTGAATTCAATCCTGTTCTAGGATGCCACCATCCTGGAATATGGTGCTCTGTGCCTCTATTCTCAAAGCAAACTCTTTCATCTTTGCAATTTTGAAACTACAAAGACTGGACTCCTGCTAGTTCTTGTAATATCCTCAGGTTTTCTTTTCTATCATCTCATTCCTTCTCAGCAACCAAGTTCTCCTCTTCTACATCTTTGCAGTCTGCAACTTTATCACCATATCCCTTCTGGCCAAACCCAAAACATTTTAAATCATTCCACTGAGGTCCCTGCTCTTTACTCTCAACATAGATCTGTCTAAACACCCCCAACAGTATCCATGCCGCTTCCTCAACATTAGACTGCTTTGAAATTTCTTTTGCTAGATTAATTAGTCTACTGACTCTAATATTTATCTCAGGCAAAGTCTCCAGACATGAGCAAAATGTAGACAGACTTTCTGCCAAGGCATAACATACATTGTCCAGAATTCAACAGCCAATTACAGTCCTTTCCAACCGAAACCACCTGAGCCTGGCCTTTAACAGCACCATTTATATTAGCATTTTGGTCTTCTGAAATCTGACCAGACTATTTCATCAAGTAGAGCTTAAAGCATTTCAAGGCTGCTTCTTCAGCTGGTGTCTCAAAACCTCTTCAAACACTTCCTACAAGCCAACTCCAAAGGCTCCTGAACCACACAGTTGTTGAACCAGGTATGGTTACAACAACAATCCTGCTCTCTGTTTTAGTTACTTCTCTCACTGCTGAAACAAAATTCCTAACACCTAAAGTTAAAGGAGGAAAGGATTTTTGTAGCTCACAATTTGTAGAGGTTTCAATTCATAGTTGGCTGGTTTCAAGGAAGGGTAGTATAGCAAAGGGGATCACAGAGGACCAACAGTACATGGCAGGCAGCAGGCAGCAAGCAGTGGCACAGCAGAAGCCAAAGCAGCAGCTTGCCACCTCCTCCTCCTCCTCCTCCTCCTCCTCCTCCTCCTCCTCCTCCTCCTCCTCCTCCTCCTCCTCCTCCTTTTCTTCCTCCTTCTCTTTCTTCTTCTTGGAAGGAAAGGTTTATTTAGCTCACAGTTACGGAGGTTTCAGTCCATAATCAGTCCAAGGCATGGAGGCATGACATAAGGGCAACACTTCAAGGCAGCAGAAGACAGCAAAAGCACAAGAGTAAAAGAGGGGAATAAGCCTCTTTTTCTCCCTTGCATTGTAAGTAGGCTACCACTCCCCAGGGTGGGTATAGTACTCGTACCATCTCCCTGCAGTCCTCTTACCTAGACCAGCATGTTTACAAAGTGAGACCCTGGACCCTTGATGAATGATTGAGTTAAACTTTTTTTTTAAGCCACTCAAACTGTGTTCCTCCTCTCTTGCTAACTCTGAGGAGACAGCAAGAATGATCATCAATGGCAAGTGGCAGTTGCACTCAAGCAACACCAAGAGCCAGCTTCATGCTCAGGAAGGAACACTACGCCACCTCCTGCTCGTGGTTTCTGGTACTCTACACGATCAGAGAAGCTTCTCTAGTAACGTACTATAGAAATGATCCCTGAAAGTATAGCCTTTGAGTTAAACTTATAAACTCAAATTTTTTTATCTTTTTGAGACAGGGTCTTGCTGTGAAGTTCAGGCTGGCTTTGGGCTCATTTTGTAGCTCAGGCTGTTCTCAAACTTCCAATAGTCCTCCTGCCTCAGCCTCCTGAATGCTGGGATTATAGGCATGAGCTACCATGTCCATTTTCAACTTCTCAGATTGACACAATGTATCAGCCATTATAAGCCAGCACTTGTCAATTTGGCAACCAGATACGTTTTTTAAAATCTGTATCCAGATATAAACATATGCTTATTCTTACCATTTCACAACTGGAACATTATAGCCAGATTTAACAATCCTTAAGAACCACTATTAAGTCTATCAACATTATATTACATTAGAACCATAACATTTTGTCCCTGGTCCCCTCAAAGACTCATGTACATTCTTTTGTGCAATATTCCTTTTACATTCCATCAGATTACCCATCCCTTGGGCAGTTCCACTCACACTCAGGCTGGGGTACCCTTAATCCCCTCATCCCATTATTATCCCAACGTCATGCACCCTAATCTAGTCACCTTCAAAGCACCCCCTCTATGACTAGATGAGGCTCTGGGGAAACATCAAGACACAAGCCATAACAGAAAGTGAAGTCTTTCAGTATTCATGTGGAACCCTCCGTTTCCATATTTCATTTGTATACCTTAGACAGGTGTAACAAACACTTGCCCTTGTTTTTTTTTTTTTTAATCCTTATGTTTTGTTTAACTTCTTGAGAGCTTTGCAGATTCCCATGAGTTAGAACATAACCTCCCACAAAGAGACTTAAAACCTGTTTTAAGTCTGTATTTTTCTTTAACCTATTGAATGCAGGAAAATGAGAAAATAAAAGCACTCCATTTCTTAAGGACATACTAGCTACTAGAAATCATGGTAGTTGCATTGCATACATTATCTCATTTAGCTCAGGCACATCTACTGACCTCAAAAGACAACATAATTATTAAATAATATGAACTACAAAATCCACTTGTTTGAATTACTCTGCTAGCTCATTATTTTTAGAATTAACTTGTTAGCATTTTTAAATGCATCTATGAGCTGGGAACTGTTATTTTTAATTAACTCAATTTACTACTTTCCTGAAGTTTCTAGGTGAGTGAGCATAGATCAAGTTACAAGGCTGAATAATCACTGGCTTTGGGGTTTTTCAAGTGGAATATTCAGTGCCAACTCCATCTTCTCTCCACATCCTTCTCATCCTGTTAATATTTATGGCTACTCAAGTTCTCTCTGTCTCCTAGACCTGCTGAGGTACACACTGCATTTGTGCTCTGTGTTTCCTGATAACATGTGTTTGATCGATACAATGCAATCTCAGTTTCTCTGCTCACTAAGGTTCAGGGCTGAACACATGAAGTTGGGCACACTGCTTTCTCCACTAGAATGGAAATGGTCTGCTGCATTTCCATATAGGTTATACTTGCTTTCTCACAAAAGAAAAAGAGGGTCTTAGACTGACAAACTGAAAAAAGAAATTGAAATTGAAGCCAAAGTTAATAATCTTCAGTGCTTTTTCAGTTTTTATTTTTCTTACTATATGTTTGCAGTACATAATGATTACATTCCTCCTGGAAGTTGGTACATATGCATAACGAATCTTCTATTTGTATTCCCTTCCTTTACTTTCTCTCCTCCCCTATTTCTCTTTTGCAAAAAAATTTATCTCTTTTCCTATTTTGTTCTTTATTCATGTTTTGAGTCTCTTCTATAAGAAAAACCATGTGATACTTAAACTTCCGTGTCTGATTTATTTAGAATTATGGTTTAGAATTATGATTTCAAGGTACATCCATTTTCCTACAAATGATTCAAGTTTACACTTCTTTATGGGAAAGTAGCATTCACTGTAATAAATACCACTTTTTTAACCATTTGTCTTGTTGATGGACATACAGGTCACTTCCAAGATTTAGCTATTATGACCTGGGTCACTATAAATATGTGTATGCATGTATGACACTTTTAACTCTTTCAACAAGATACCTAGAAGGGAATAGCTGAGTTGAATGGAATTTCTAGTTTTATTTGAAGCAGCTTCTTACCCATCTTGGTCTAGGCTTCCAAAATTTCCTGCAAGGAGGAGGTCAAACTCAGAGAGTTTGGAAATTAAGAATTGCAAGGTACTGAGGTGGCCAAACCTAGGGAAGCAGTAACAGAATCGCACACTAGAAAATCGCACTCTAGAAAACACATATGACAATAAAAATCTACAGCAGAAGCCAAAATGTGCTTGAGGGAGCATGCAACAGTCATTGATCTCTGTATTTAAAAAACCACCGTTGTAAAAGAGGGATCACAAAAAGATTCAGGAAACACTGAAGCAATCAGACCACTGAAGGCAGAGCTGACACTACAAGCATGAAAGCTTGGTGAGACAACTACCAAAGGACGCAGGAGAGGGAAGGTTAAACCTATTGAATTCAGGGAAAGGGAAGAACAAAAGCACTTTATTTCTCAAGGACCTGCTAGCTACTAAAAAGCATGCTAGGGATGATTCAGTGGATTGATAATCAGGACTTCTTTGATATTGTATTAAGAAATACAATAATACCTCAGTTCATGAACACTTCTGTTTCTCAACAAAATTGTGTTTCAGTTAGCAAACTCTATGTTAGGGAAAGAACACGACAATGGCCATTTTCCCCACACACATGGAATGAACTAAGTTCATGGACTGAGGTAGCTCTGTATTGAAAGATTAAAAAAAAAATACAATTCTGAAGAATTTGAGCAGGAGGATGGGAAGAAATGTAGAAACAAGGGCATTAGTGGGGCAAGAAAAAGTTGGTTTCATTTTAGAAATGAGCAGTTTGAGGTGACGACAAGGGACCAAAGTGAAATTCTCATGTAGGTTTATGACTTTCACAGTCCCAAAGCCTCCTAGAAGAGTCATGGCTAGGAATGGAGGCACCAGTTTGTAAGAAAAGGCTCAGCACACAGTTTTTAATTAAACTTGTTCATTCATTCATTTATTCACTCATTATCACAACATTAACAGAAATTTAAGCATACATTTTTCATGAGAAAGAAATTGTTTTTCTCCTTTTTATTAAAAACTGTAACCTATCTCAAAACAGAAAAGGGTCAGGGATGTAGCTCATAAAGACCCAAAGTTCAATCACCAGTACCTTAAAAATATCACAGTCTTTAGAAAATGGTTGAAATCACTCATTACTCGGAAACTCTTACTGAAAAGTTTTGATTTGTTAAAAGAACTATTACTTCAAATAAGAGATGTTTTCTTAAAAACTCCAGATTGGAAATTGATGGCATTTTCTATCAAGAATCCATTAATTGGTTTTCCTTAATGTTTAATGGGAGCAGTCATCAAACTGAAGAAACCTTATGTCATTTATCTGCTCTCTCTCCAAAGCCTTGAGAACACCTGATGATTATTTCTATCAAACCTATCATTCACTGAACACATAATCATGAATAATTTAATAAAGCAATAGATCTATTACTTAATATAGTGCTAACCTTTTATAATGCGTGTACCTGGGGAGAAAACTAATATCAGTGTCACGGAATAACTTATACCAGTCCTTGGGTTTTGGAGGTAACATTGTGACTCACGGAATACTTAAATACATGCAATTATAAACCACATTATGGGAAAATAGTTAACCTTTGTGTAGCATTTAAGAGTTTACAAAGTACTTTCTCAGACATTACCTCATCTGATGCTCATATCAACCCTGTGAGACAGGTTTTATTTTGTAGGTGAGAACAAGATTCAGAGAGGCTAAGTGATTTGTCCAAAGTTGCCTAGCTATTAAGTGGTGGAGCTCAGATTCCCCCAACTTCAAAGGTCTGTGCTGCCTCCTGCATCTGGATGTCCAAAGCATGATAAAAACAGATGACAACAGGCTTTTAAAAGCAAGTTCTGGCCTCATTCATGGCTCCAACAGGCCATACGTGCGATAATCCTGTTTCCCTTATTTTGTTATCCATCTGTCTGGTGACCAAGTGTTCTCATGACAGCCCCTGCCAAGAAGCATCATAAGCTACCAGCTTAAGAAAAGCGCTTACTTTCTGATGAACTAAAAGACATGTGAACTATTCTTGCCTACCCATCATCGTGTAGCAAAAGAAAGCCACACATCTGGGAGGGACAAGTGCTACATTCTTTTTTAAATGATTCTTGCCACATGACAGTTCATGTAAACAGCACACAGAATTTCATGCAATCAAGAATTGGTCTTTATGTAAAATTCTTAAAGGAGACTTGCCTTGCTTTAAACTAATTTTATGAAACTTTGTTTTTCCCACTCACTATTTAGCTTGACTTAAGAAACTCTTTGGAATATACTTTATTAGTTCTCTCTGTGTGCTGTCTCTCTGTCTCTCCCCTCCCCACTTCTCTCCCTCTCTCTCTCTTTCTTCTTCCTGACTACCTATGATGGATAAAGGCAATGTTTTTTTTCTATATTCTGCTCTTCATTGTTCTTCATTATGCTTAAACATAATGAACATCTCCCCTTTGTTTTAAAGGCTATTATCCTGCATTAAATGCAAGTAATTTAAAATGTCATTAAATAAAACTTGTATTTCTTTTATTGCAAAATTAAACTCAATCCAACTTAGAACAGAAGTCCATTCTTCACTAGTTAAAAAAACTATTTCATTACAATAATCTTTACTTTCATGTCAGTTATCAGTATTATTATTTAAGTGTTTTACTCACAGAACTCCAAGGGTCATGCAAAACTGCTTCAGACAAAGATCCAAGGGTGACAATGACTTGGAATAAAAGGACATATGCTTTATAATTTATATATTTAGGTAAGTGGTTGTGCCCTATCTCTTCAAACCAGTAAAAACAAACAGGAGCACAGAATGTTTTCTCACTAGATAAAAATATTTTCCTTTGTATGACCAGCCTGGGATTGCTCCATTCTTTCTACTTCTTCATATTAGTTGAGGATAACTTCCCAAAATATCTGATATTAAGAGAACTCT